GAGCCCTGCAAACGTTCCAGTGCACTGAAAAGCTGGCATGCCTCTTTGGAGAGTTTAATAAAGGTATATAATAGCATAGGCTACCCCAGACTGTTTCGATCTTCCTTCCAATCTTAAAGACTGAACTCTTGTATGTTTAATTTAAAGGTATTTGTCCCATGAGCAAATTTTGCTGCCAAAAGCATTAGTACAGTTTCAAAGGATATTCCTCAAATATGAATGAGCCAAGACCCTGTGATCATTTTAATTGATCCAGCAGTGCTTGCAGCTAAAAGTAAAGCTTCTGCCTTTTATGGCAGACCAGACCTTTTCCCCTACCCCCTAATATTTCTGTTCCTGACATTTTACAAAAATAGTCGTCAGTCTTGCTCAGTCTGGGAGATTTATATAAATTCATGATCACAGCAGTTAACTTGATTCTGTCAAAACTGGTGTATAGGCTGTAAGATATTGCCCCATGGAAAGAAGAGAAATGTTTTTTCAAGATGGCAAGTGGCTTTGAATAAATAAAATTTCATTGATGCCAAAACACTTATGGGAATGTATTGGTTTCAGCACCGATACCCTGATTTGGGTTGAAAAACTCTGATTGAAACCAGATCAAAGATTTTGACTGGGATCTTTCTGCAAGTCTCCTCACACATATGCCGATGCACACACAGACCCATGCAGAGCTGCCAGAATCAGAATGGGCATTTCAACACCATTCTGCTTTCATGTAGTCAGGAGTTTTGGTTCAAAACCTTACAAGATGATGCAGACAGCCTTGTCAACCTCCATACAGCCCTAGTGACAATGCCATGTAACAGCATGAAAAGGAGTGCAGGCAATCCATCCCCTTTCTCTCCCGGGTTTTCAAATGCTAAGGGCAGAAAGACATGGAGACCCTGGCTGCCTGTGCCAGGTGGCCCCAAGACCCTCTATTTTCATCTGGGCTTTGAACCTTTTCCTCTTTATAATGCAAACTCATCTGAATGCAGTCCATTATGAGAGGAGCAAGGGATGTGGAAGCTTGTGCTGACGGTCCTGAGGCTGAGTATTGCTGCCATTTGGCCAAGCTTGTTTCTGGAGTAGAGGTGGGTGACATTGACTGTTGAGTATGATCTTAAAGTACCAGTAATGAGCACATTAACAAAACATTTATCACCCTCTAGGACCAGTCTGTATGTGGACAGTTGTTGACATCCAAAGACACCTTTGTGGAGAGAAGACCTACTTATCACATCTATAAGCCTTGTGCAACCCTTATGGTCTTGATACCACTGCACAAAGTAGGAGGCAGCTGAGAATATATCCTTCCCCTCCTGCCACCAGCAGCACTGGGAAACTAGCCTGTCTCAAGGACGAATGGTGAAGGTTTTAAAAACATGTTGGCTGGAGACTGAGCAGGAACTGGTCAACGTTTACTTCTTCCTCTTCCAGTGTCCTGAGTTGCTGCTCTGCAGTCTCTGACTCCTCTTTTTGGCATTAGGCTGGCAGGACAAGCAGCAGTGTTGGAGAGGTGAGCCAGCCATGCTCTTTTGGTTTCATTGTCCTAGTATCTAAAGGCTGACCAAATATGAATAAACATTTAAAGGTTTTGCAGGAAAATACAGTTCTGAACACGATTAGACTTCAGTTTCACCTACATACTCTCCTTGGATAAATTATTGGAGTTTTGAGTCAAACTGGATCCAATCAGACATCAGGGGCTAAGTTTAAAATTATTGCAAGACCACTTTACAGAGAAGATGTCCATATTTCCATGAACAGCTGAATTATGGCTCTGCACTGGCCCACAAATCCATGCAGAGTGTCCCTATGGTCATAGATGGGATAACTTCTTTTGTCAACAATGCATGTGGCTTAAGAACATCTCTTCCTATACAACTCTTAAAAAGTGCAAGGACAAAAGATGTAATCCCATTGCTATCCATTGAGAAGTCATTAAGGGAGCTGTGGGAAAGGGCTGCCAAAGGGAAAGGATAGTTCATTCTTTGTGCCCATCTATGCTTTAAATATTCTAATAGGCTGTGAAATGCAGTGGGAATGTCTCAAACATAGCTACATCTCTACTAAGAAGCCAATGTCACAGAAGACACCAAACAACCCTGAAAACAATTTTCTGTCATTTTAGGTCATGACTAGGTTCAAACTTGCAATGTAGGGGTGACAACTCGGTCTCATTATTTCCACCTGCAGCCATCCAATCTGTTGCAGCTTTGAAAATATAAAAGCATGATCGGGAGTTATATGATGGTATGAAATTTCAAGGCATCTGCACTAAGGATAATAAGACTGTGCATCCCATACATTTAATAAATTATGAGCTTATTATCAGGTACCCCCATGCCTCACATGAACAATTCCATCCAGTGCGTGGGAATAGAGTACAGTAAGAGAAAGAAAGAGAAAAATGCTAAAAGGTAGCAAATAATAAGGTTTGCTTACTGTTGGTCTCTCTAACTCCAACAAGAGAAGCAATAAAAGTGCATCAATCAGGTCTTTTTTCTGTGATAGGGATGTTCTCCACTGTTTTTAACAGCTTGCAAATTCCTATGACTATAATCAGCCTGATCCCACTGTGCTCCCTGTCAGATACCACAATGGCTATAATCTGGCACCTGCTCAGTACAAAGCTTGGAAGTGAGGCTGGGTGCCCACAGAATAAAAATTAAGTGTGTTCACTGTGGAGGGGGAGGATCGGAGGGAATTTAGGAATACTGGTGACAGCCTTTTTTCTTCTCTCTCAGCAAGAGAGTCCTGACTACGACAAGTCAGAAAATGCTGCTATTGTTCTGCCTTAAACCTCCCTCTTCCAGATGCAGAATTTCACTTCCAGAAGCAGCCAGCATGGGGATGTGTTCCCAATAAAATCAGCTACATCCATCTGTCTCTTCTAGACTACCCAGCTTGCCCCATTTTCAGACTGTTCAGGAAGCAACAAACATTTTCTTGCCTTGATCATTTTGCAAATCCTCTTCCTCATGCCTGACTTATGTAGGTACATCACCTAGAAAAGCAGTGGGTTTAGATAACCTAAGCTTTTTTCATCCTTCCAAATTCACTGGTTTTCCTCAGTGCAGAATTGCCTGGATCCCATTGACCTGGAACCGCCTCAAGCGGATTTTTCTACAGACAACCTGCCCCAGCTCCTGATCCATTCTCCCCTGCAGACTACTGTAGTGTCTCTGATAGAGATATCTCTGCAACACTATAAAAATCCTTCATCAGTTTAGTAAAGTACAGGGACCTATATTACAACTTCATTCACATGAGAAAGCATTTTCTCATGGTCTGTGTTGCCTTTGAAATTCTCCATTGGAACTGGAAACTGTTAAATAGCAATCTATGTTGCTGTTTAGCTAAACATAAACAGACCCATGAACTGGATTCTCTCCTAACACAGTGTACAAGCTTTGATTCATGAAAACTGAGATGGAAAGAAAGAGAAGTGATTTATAACACTAAATAATCTGCACATTTCTTCAACTGCTGTTATTGCCACTTAGCGAGACACAGAGACACTGAACAGCTTGGCCGCTCCTGTCTGGCTGGGAAGAGCCTGACATGCCGTGGGCTCTCTTGCAATGAGATAATAATAATGGTGAGGACCAACAACCTCACAGTCAGAGGTGCAATGAGAAGTCAGGAGTTACTGGCTCCCGATGGTGGGCATGGCTCACTGCCCTTTTAACAGAGCCCAGAATTGTCAGGGTCTAGAAAAAGTGGAACAGCACAGATGGATTGCATCAAACTAAAAAAGGGAAGAAAAATGGGTTTTATCTGCAGGTCTGATCACACATTTGCCCTTGCTGCAGGACACTTGGTGTGTGAACTGCCTCTGCCCTGAATTTCATCCTTCCTCACCGGAGACAGTAGCTCAGTCAAGGGTAAAGGTTTCCTGCTGAGCTGGGAAACCAGTGCTGGCAGGTCCAAAAGCACAGGGCCTGCAAATCAGGGGGACTGGCAGGTCTGTATCAGCACAGTCAACACATCTTCATCTTGGAAACACCTTTCAGTTAAGGTGGGATTCCTCTCACCTGTGCTTAGCTGCCAAAAAATGAAGTGTATAGTCCATGTTAGCAGGCTAGGTTCCCTTTATAGTCAATGAAGAGAAGGGTTCATATTCTTCCCAGATCCCATCCAACACCATCCTGAGGGATATATGGATGGGTATAAGTACGGCTGTGCAGGTTGCAGGGGCAAGTCCATTCTACCTGCATTTCTTCACGCCAGGATATGAATTTATCATCGGTCGCAGTGAGAGTGGAAACAGAGGCAGCATCTGATAAAAGCTACCCAGGCACGAATATCAACACGCAGAAATTTCAGTGCTGCAGATTTCAATCCTGTTCACATACTATGATTGATAATGGAAAAAATTCTTACAATTACAAAGGATATTATTATGACAAAGCTTTATAAGATACAGACAGGTGTAGTGAACAGCAAACTAACATTGAACTGAGAGTCAATACACAGGAAAATATGGAAACTACTGAAATCCTGTCTGTGGTCACAATTCAAAGCAGTTTGCCCATGTCTTTCTGGGAAAGCATTTCTGTGACTCTTCTAATAAATGTCCTGATTTTCAACAGTATCCTTTCTTTTACTCCCAAAATGACAGCTGAAGAAAATTACAGTGAAACAGTATCAAAGGTTGTTCAGACTGAATCTAATGCTATCTAGCAGGCAGTGGAATAAATACCAAAGGAAGCAGCGGCATCCTTTAAGCTAGGCTGAACAAAGCGTGGAAGTACGAGCTCCTGTGTTTGTTGAAGCAGGGGGCCTTTCCAGCCCTGCCTCCCCCAGCACAACCCGCAGCCTGCAGCCGTGATTCTTCAGTGCAGGGAGAGACAGCGGCTCGGAGGAGAGCCAGTAAACCCCAGCCCAGCTTCAGGCTGGCCTGCCACTGTACGAAAGCGAAGGGCTGTGTCAGGGTTGTGCCTGGATCTCCAGCACCCCGCCGAGGTGTGTGGATCCAGGGAGGGAGAAGCCGGTGCCCACTCCGCTGCGGCTCAGTAGATGATTCCTTCTGGTTCCAGCAGCAAGTACTTCTTCATGGATAGGGGGATGGAGAGCAAGGGGACTCCTCGGTGACACCTTTCTGACAATATCGCCCGAATAGCACATCTGCATAAATGCATGAGTGACCGTGGTGAATTGCTGCACACAGTGAACAAAGAGTCATAGAAATCCTGGTGCCGCTGTAAAAAAACACAAGTGGGTTTTAGGAAAATAAGGCTTTTTCCTGCCCTCCCTTTCCCCTGCCCACATGCAGTCCTTGGCGGAACAGGGTAAAAAACACAGCCAGCACCCCTGTCCCTTGGAGGCTCATCAAGCACCGGGGACTTGGTTTAGCCAAAAGCCTGCAGAAAATCCTTACGCTTGCCTCAAATATTTAGTGTTAAGTCAAAGGCCATGATGAAATCTTTAGGTTTGGTATGTCTTTTATCCACCAGTTTGAGGTGGGGCTTCCTCTGTGGTGTTAGTTCTGATCCGAACAGACACTGCAGCCAGGTCAGGGTCAGCGCACGTGGACGAGTTAATCCTCTAAACCTCACCACGGGGCAGCGAGGCAGCATAATGCCGGCGTTACCCGTGAGTTCGCTGGGGCTGCAAACGGCAAAGTACCTTTGGGCTTACTCATTGCCCCAGTGGCCTTTTAGAATAAATAAAATTGCATCCCCACGAGAAGAAAAGTGCAGATGCTTACAAATGATGTTGAAATAAAAGAAGCAAATGGTAAATATGTGCAGCTGTGTGTGACTTGGCCTTATTTTATAATCTTGCTACTTGACAGATCTGGTTACATGTATTTTCAGGTACACATTATGTATGGAAAAGTACGGATTGGTGTCAACAAAAGATTTGCTTCAATTTCATGTCAAATTCAGCAAATAGCTTTGACAACAAAAATGAAAATCTCAACAAAGAAATAGAGCAACTGTGGACTTTTTGAAATAAGAATGTTCCAATATTTCAGATCAAGATTTTTGTTTGAAGAAAAATTATTATTATTAATTATTGTTATTAAGGTGAAAAAAGACCTTTAAATTCTAATTTTGTGTTTACCCAGAATGATTTCTTTTAAATTTTTCTGAACAAATCTGACCCCCCAAAAGTCTCACAGTTCCCATGGCTATATAACTCTGCATTGTAATATGGATGGAGTTCCCTAAACATCACTGATGATGTATAGCAGATATTGGTGCACTTAACTTCAGCACTGATTTGAAAATTTTAAAAAAGCTCAGTCTTAATAAAAGACTAGATTTAAACTGGAATATTGGGACTATGAGGATTTCTGAATTAAAGGGATAATTATGTCAAAGCATATAGTTTGTCACACAGCTTTGCCTTTTGACAATATCTCCTCCTCTTTGATCTCTTATTTTTTCATTTAAATTCTCCCTTGTATTTGCATCTAACCAGTCCTGCTCACAGAAAGCCAACCCATGTAACAGAAACTAGATACATAGTCATACTCATGTCAAATGGTACTTTTATAATGTTAGCTGACTTAAAAAAAATATAAATATATGTATTGACAGATCTGAAGAAACACCAGTCACAGCCAGAATCTTTGCACTTGCTAAATGCAGGGAGAGCTGAGCTCCTACAGCACCCCTGACAGGGGGTGCTCCAAAGGATAATGTTGCAATGAAAATTTCTCAAAAATGTGTCTTTTGTCAGTGAGTGATATGCTTTTGTCAAGTGAGTGGTATTAAATGGGGAAGTCCTAAATCCTCTGAGATGTTCTTCTCTTTCAACAGCATTCTCACTTTTCTGTGGTCGGATATGGAGAATGCAAATAATGAGCTTGGATTTTACTTAGTTACAACTGATTAAGAGCTTACCTCAAAGACGTCATCAGGTATGGCTGCTTTCCACTTAGATGTTGATTTGATGTGTTTGTAGGTGTTGACAACAACCTCCACAGCTCTTGGGTGGGAATGACAGGCTTGTAGCACCTGCAGGCAAGATGCACAGAGACCATGAGTACCACCAAGAAGCTGGGGCTAGCCTGGATGCTTGGCACTGTGCAGCGGCATACTGAGACGGACATAGCCAAAGAATTACGAGAGGATCAGGTTGGAGATGCAAAGGACGCAAGCCCTGTCTACGCTATTCAGTGCAAGTACAGCAAGAAACCCCAGGCTAGCCCCCAGTGGAGCTGTGCACAGCCCAGTTTAACACCATACAGAAGTACTGGCTTAGATCTCCAGAGCAGTGTAGCTTGCTGACTGGGTAGGCTTTATCACCCAAATCTGGAGATAACTTGCTCATAGCTGGGTTGAGTGACTCAACACCAGACAAAGGCATGCACAGAGTCCTTGCTCCAAGTCATGCAGCACAGGAACAGAAAAAATCCCGTCACATGAATCAAAAATGCATCATTACAGGAAAATTTAAAAGAAGACTGGGAGATAACACAGCTCAGAAGTAGGGCTTCCAAGCCACATGAGGCCCCTGACACAACTGCTCTGCCCAGTAACTTTAGCTCAGTAGGAAAAAAACCAAAGTCTATTGTCACTCGCACTCAGGGAATAACATTTTGCATTCACACCATACGATGCATAATTTTGTCCCACACAGTCACCAGGTTTTCACAAACAAAACTGCAGAGCATCCCTCTGGGATAAATATCATCTTACATATTTTACAGATGGCAAATGACAGTTTGGAAGGGAGGCCCTCTCCATGCAACAGGAGAAAGGCGGAGGCAGGAAGAGGAGACCCGAGACCCAGCTCTCAATCGCGCTCTAGGAAACTAAGTGTTGTTCTGTTACAGACAGGGACAGCCCATCCTGGGCTCAAGAGGGCACAACCAAAAGATTGGCATTTTATTCAAAGGCTTCTGGTTGCTTGGCTTGTTAAAACTTTACATATACAGTGGAGGAGCTGCAAAATGTTGCTCAGGGCACTGGATGAGAGAGAATAAGTCCTGACTACAGCAAGCTTACTTAGTTGTCTGATATAATAAGACTGTCAGCTACTTCCGTCAGTGCCTTGGGCTTTGCAGACATTTAGAAATTCTTTGGGAGGGATCCTGCAATTATTTTTCTTTTTTTTTTCATCAACTATGAGCCCAGGCCTGGCATTTTCCCTTAATTTCTCACATTTCCTGAGAATGAGACAAAGCTTTATTGAAATCCATTTCACTTTGAATAGATTTTTAAAGGCCAGAAGTGACAAACTGAATCAACTGGTCTGATCTCCAATCTTTGGTAGAGGCCATGAAATAAGCATTTCGTATAACCCAGTTAAGCCTGTATGGAGCCAGGTTTGACAAAAGCACATAGGTTTTCTGAAATGAGAAAGTGAATCAGCTCTGAAAAATTAGGCTTGAGCCAGCATTTAGAGTTCAGGGTTTCAGGTTTGTTAAGAACAAAAATGGGATCTGGGTCTGATTTCTGGCATTAGCAACTGTAATTTCTCTTCAGTCAAATGATATCACTCTTACAATAGGTCACCTCACAAGGTTTTGGGCATTCTGGGCCCACAGTTTACAGGACTCCAACAAATCCAGATACCACTAAACCCTGAAGTTTCAATCTCTCACCCCTTTCCTGTTCAAGACATCACCTCTCTCCATATCCCCACTGTACAAAGCCATCTTTAACCTTGTGGAATTGCAGAGGATATATCCTAGCTGCTCCATGATTCAGTAGCAGCTGGTAGCAGATGTCAGGCTGGGCAGCTGGCCGCACAGATGTCACTTTTATGATATACTGTAGGGGTGCACAGCCGTTGACATCCATGACGTTTGCTTCTGCTCCTGCCTCCAGCAGCATGTGCAGCAGGACGTGATCACAGTTCCAGGCAGCTTTGTGGAGCGGGGATTTGAAATCCTCATCACGAGCGTTCACTTCAGCTTTATAGTCTAAGAGCATCCGACAGATGAGGTGGTGATCCGGGCTGTATATCTGATCCTTATAGTGCAGGGCCCAATAGGCTGCACAGGCCAGGGGAGTCTCCATGTAGGCATTGAGAGCATCAACGTGCGCTCCTTGTTCCACGTAAAAGGCCACGAGCTCCGGGATACCTAAGCGCGCAACGAGGTGCAGAGGAGTCTCCTCATCTTGGTTGTTTGTTTTTATGTTCACATTTGCTCCTGCCAAAGAAAGATGAGGGGTCAAAATGAAGGCAACGAAAAACCGGATTCAGACATCTCTCTGCTTGAGCCCTGCTACCCAAGGGGAAGGTGAGGTGGGAAACTGGTGTAAAAGACACATATGGAAATGCAAATAGCTAGGGACGTGAATTCTGCATTTCTTGAGCCTCCAGGAAACCCTTAGAAACTTCAGGTTCTTGGATCCAGCCTCAGATGTGATAGCTTGGCGCCAAGCTGGCAGAAGACCTTATCTGAGCGCTCCATTTTGGAGCAGCATGCAGGTCCAAATCTCTGTGTGAAATGCTTTTTCCTAGAAATGAAGAACTGAAGGAAAAAGCAGCGCTTTACTCCTACTCCGGAGAACAGTTCTGCGCGGATCTGCAGCACCTCATGAACTGCGAGCCTGGAAGAAGGGCCATCTTATGACCGATCGAGAGAGGATATAAAAACCCCAACGCCAAAGTCCCCGGCTGAGGGTCCGGATCCTGTTTCCACGCTGCTAAGGGCGCTGGTACGACCGCTCCGTCTGTGCCGAGGGGCTGCCGCAGCTGAAGCAACAGCACCATCTGCTGAGCGCACAAGCCGGGCCGCGGCGGGGCGGCGGGGGGACCCGA